AAACCCAAACCCAAACCCAAACCCAAACCCAAACCCAAACCCAAACCCAAACCCAAACCCAAACCCAAACCCAAACCCAAACCCAAACCCAAACCCAAACCCAACCCAACCCAAACCCAAACCCAAACCCAAACCCAAACCCAAACCCAAACCCAAACCCAAACCCAAACCCAAACCCAAACCCAAACCCAAACCCAAACCCAAACCCAAACCCAAACCCAAACCCAAACCCAAACCCAAACCCAAACCCAAACCCAAACCCAAACCCAAACCCAAACCCAAACCCAAACCCAAACCCAAACCCAAACCCAAACCCAAACCCAAACCCCCAACCCCCCAACACAACCCCAACCCCAAACCCAACCCAACCCAAACCCAAACCCTATAAGGGAATCTCAAAGTCAATTTTGAAAATCAAAGAGTTGCTATATATAATATCTAATAAATCATATTTAAATATTAAAAATGATATCAAAATGCTTCAAGTTACATATATAACATGATAGAATTGAAATAAATATCATATCTCATATTAAATATTGAGATAGTCAATTAAGGTAGTACCTCAATAGGGAAGTACCCTAAGGACAATGAGATTCATTACCAAATTGATACAATATGTTAATAATATCATATAATGATGTTTCTATCAATTTCATATCATTTAGACATCATTCAATATTCATGTCATTCAACCATGTCAGCAACTACTCATGGCAATATGACAAGTCAATATCAAGATGTGCAACAAGATAGAATATCATACCACTACTCTTATTAATGATATTGATAACGTATTTGAGTGGTAGAAATTAATATCTATATAATTGGAATATCTGTCAAGCTACTGTCCCAATTGATCAAAGGTAACATTCTTACATGTCATGAATGGTAAGAATCGACACCAATTCATTACTATCATGTTATAATCATCATATACTCTCATAGAATCAATTTTGGAATGATTTCAATATCATCTTAGATAGTTATCATATGACAAAGTGACTACCTTAGTGAACTACCCATGTCATTAAGA